TTCTACATGACTCTGGTGCACCCGCAACTGGAGTATTGTGCTCAGTTCTGGGCCCCTCATTACAGGAAGGATATAGCCAGGTTGGAGTCAGTGCAGCGTAGGGCCACAAGGTTGGTGGCCGGTTTGCAGGGGATGGGGTATGAGGCAAGACTGAGGGAACTGGGTCTCTTCAGCCTGGAGAAGAGGAGACTCGGAGGGGATATGTTGGCGATGTATGTGAGGGGATGTCACATGGAGAAGGGTAGAGACCTGTTCTCCCCTGCAGAGGAAGGCAGGACATGCTCCAACAGAGCAAAGTTCAGGGAGCCAAGGTTCCATTTGGGTGCCAGGAAGCACTTTCTGACAGCCAGGACCCCGAGGGTGTGGAATGGGCTTCCCCGGGAGGTCGTTGAGGCCCCATTGGTGAGGGTGTTCAAGGATAGGCTGGATGGTGGGCATGTCGTGAGTGGAGCCGGCTGGTGTCGGAGGTCAGACTAGACGGCCCGGGAGGCCCCTTCTGACTCGCTCTGTTTCTGTGTTTCTAAATTAACAGTATGGTATTGCTGGCTGGTTTCTGCCAGACATTAAATTCTCAAAGGCACCATAAAAGAAGTGTCCATGAACCACTTTTGTCTCTCATTTTCTAAAAGTCTGTGACAATGAAAATACCATGTTTTCCCAAAAATAAGACCAGGCCTTATATTAATTTTTGCTCCAAAAGATGCACTAGGGCTTATTTTTAGGTGATGTCTTATTTTTTCATGTACAACTATCTATATTTATTCATGTACAAAAATCTACATTTATTCAAATACAGTCATGCCATAGTCTTCTGGAGCATCATCATAACTCTCCAAATCCCAAATTGTGTTGCAACGAACATACTAAATGCATCCGTCTGGCTGACAATCTTAACTGGGGCTTATTTTGGGAGTAGGGCTTATATTACGACCATCCTGAAAAATCATGCTAGGGCTTATTTTCTGGTTAGGTCTTATTTTCAGGGAGACAGGGTAATTTTTCATGCAGCATTTCAGGTTTCCAGAGGATGTATTTCAATTTCTTCCTCCAGATTCTGTAATGAGAAGGCCAACCCTTATTCAACAAATCTGCATGGCTGCAGAACCCACATTGTCTTCAAATTTTGCAGCCCCGATCTTCAAATTTTGTTCACAAAGTATCCCTCCCTGTCTCTGCCCAGTGACTCAAAGCACCTCTCTCCTGAAAACTGTATCTAATTGCTCCATGTCTTCTCTTAAAAAATAAATGAAGCATATTTTTTTATTCAGAATCTCTTTGTCCTACCTTTCTATATGTTCCAGATGTCTGCTCCCATGGGTTCAAGGCAGCTTGCAAACTATATATGGTAATGGAAAGAAGAATTCCAGTATAAATAATTTAAAATAATAGAAAAATCCAGCACCTTGGGAGGCAATGCTCTGTATGTTTAGACAGAAAAAAATTCCTACAGCTGGGAGCTGTAAGATGTCCTTCTGCTTAATCATGTGTAGGACCGTGCCCTTAGTTTATTAATATAGGAAGCAACTCTGGGGTTTCTGGAGTTTCCACCCACAACCTTTATCGAGCTTTTTTCCAACTCCAGAAGGACTGGAGTGGGGCACCTTCCCGAACCTTTCCCACACTGTGTTGCATAACTGGAGAGCTTTATCCTAGATCACAGGCCAAAGCAAGCACAGCCTGAGAACGAGAGATTGCCAACTTCACAAGATGTCCAACTTCAGCATCCTTGAGGGACTAATTCCCTCCCCCAGGAAGACTAATTCCTTCTTCCCACCCACATCTAGGGAAGAAAACCACATGTTGCCAAGTTGGTCCACTCCAGATGTTTTGGGGTTTAATGTCCATCGGGCCCAGCCAGCATAGGCAATTGTGAGAAATGCCGGGCACACAGTTGTAGTGCCAAACATCTGGAGAGCATCAGGCTGGAGAAGGCCGGTCTAGGCCATGAAAGGTTAAGACGCAGTGGTAACCTTTATAGTGCCACAGGGCTCTTCATCGAAAGGGACTGTGTTGGAGTTTGTTCCTGCATCCTATGGTGGAACGTCAAGAGAAATTTGCAACAGATGCAGATGTGCCTACAGGGTTCCACAGTGGATGTGCAAAGGTCTGAAAAGCACTTACAGCGCACTTGTGATGGAGGACCTGCGTAAAGCGAAGGTGTGCCCACTCTCTGCTGGTCCTCCCCTTAAGCCTGCGGGATTCCAAGGCCACGATGTCACCGAGTCACCGTGCCCGGCCCTCAGCCTTCCGCGTGCAGTTTGCCGCGTGCCTGGCATCATTCATTCTCCCACCTGACCCCTGATGGAACCAGATTATTTTGAGGGATGCATGAAAGTGTCGTTCCTCGCATGCAACAAGTGCGTATTCATGTTATTGCACATTCATGCAACATGCTTGTTAACGTGAATGCACATTTGTATATGTGTGCTTTTGTATCTGCTACATTAGCACTTGTGTTAATTTGCACAAATCCCCTCAAAAGTAAAAAATGGATCCAGGAATTGGACCTATAGAACCCCAAAAGTGCACATGCTTTCAGGTCTGCAAAGGACCTGTTCTCCTAAGGAAGTCCCAATATGTAAAAATACATAGGACGTCCTTGTATGTGTGAACATTTGAGTAGGGAAAGTAATCGTTTCTCAGAGGCGGGGCAGCGGGCAATCATGCCCATGTGAAAAGGGGGTTCAGATGCAGTGGAGACCCTCAGGGCCCCTGTATCGCTATTTCAGCAAGAGCCCACAGGCGGTAGGATGGTGGGGCAGATGGACTGCCAGAGTTTCAGGGCTCCAGCTGTGAAAACTTGGGGTTCCCACTCTAGGAACTCATTGGGCTCTGCAATGTTGCCTCTGATTCAGAACAGGCTCCTTCCTGAGAAAATTGCTGAAAGATTATTCCCTCTGATCTGATCATGTCTGCCAGCAGCTAACTGAATAGCGAGGTTACAACAACTCGTTTCCACACGCCATCTGTTGCAGCACGACTCTTTCACAACATGAAGGGAAGGCCGTGATACTCTGCCTTTGCCACCACTGTGTTCCGTTGCCTCTTCCCTCTTGTTTTTCAAAGCACTCGTTCAAGACATCCCACCTTGGAAGCAGCTTGCAGCCTTCCGGCCCTCCACTGAAGACATTCTGAAGCTGAGCACGGTGAGCAAAGTCTCAGGCAAGGCCTGTCCCTGGGTCTCCAGACGAGAGCTGCCCACTCAGCTCAGGCAGCACAATAGAACTGTGTTGCTTTCAGTATTTGCTTGTGTCCCTCTGTGGTCGTAAATAACCAGGTTTTGCAGGGAGTTGCGGCCTTTCAAAATCCTGCAGGTAAGCAGGGTGGGCAGGTGAGCAGCAGTGGGTCCCTTGAAAGCTTTTTTTCCTTGGATTTTCGTTTTCAGAAGATCCATTGCTGCTTATTCCCCCACCCTCACCTGAAAGGGCCCTACAAAATTGATACATTTGCTGAAACTGGGGCAGTAGATCTCAGGAGAGTTCTTGTCACTCTCTGGAAAGAGATTATCTCGTTAGGGTTATTAAAGGAATTAGCGTGGGAAAGAGGATAGGGCACTGCAGTCACAGCTGATTCCCCACATGCTGCCTTTTCCAGGAATCTGTGCTGATGGCAACATATGAGGAGTTGGGGCAGGATTCCACCCCCACCCCCATGCCAGAGAGAAGAGCTGTAGCCCCTGCTAGAGCTGATGTTCTGTATGCAGAATATTCTGGGTCCAAGCTGCAGTACTGGGGCTTAGAAAAGGTCCAGGGACTTCACACAACTAAGTACAACACTGAACTAAATAGGCCAAGTGCTTGATGTAGTTCTGTGCAGTGGAGAGCATTAGAGTTCCTATCCTTAAGAGAAGGTCCTGTCTCAGCAACGGCTAATGGATCCAATGTCACTCTGTCCCCAAACTAAGCTTGGCCCCATGGATGAATCCCTAATAGTTCAGAGCAACCTCCAGAGCAGAGTCTGTAGGTCAGTGTGGACGGAGGGCTGCTTTGGTATTTCCGCCATCCAGCAGAGCCCAGAATGTCAGAATTGCCCCTATACATCAGACCAGGGGGCCGTCTAGTCTCGCACCCTGTTTCCAGAAGTGGCTGGCCAGATGTTTCCTTCCGGGAAGCCCATCCTCAGGAGGCATAGATATAAGTGCTCTGCTTTGCTCTTTGCCCCCTGCCTCGACATTCCACATTATTCTGTGGCTAAACATGGAAATTCCGCCCACCATCATGGTGATGGATGTGTCCTCCATGAATAGGGTCAGACCCGTTCTGAACTGCTCTGAGAGCTTCGGCCTTTGGGCTGCACAGAAATGAAATAAATCTTAAATTGTAATGTTTAAATTCCCTTCACATCTTGTGGTCTTGGCTTGCATTGCTTAAGGATGCCCCAGGGGAAGGAATGCATTCGGCTGTCATCCTTAGAACTGCTTCGGTGCCAACCAAATTTGCCTGCATGCTTCTGAGTTTCATTTATGAAGCGGGGGGAGGCAACTGGGAGAGTGTAGATTGAGGTGTAGAGAAGTGTTCCCCCTTCCTAGTCTTGCGATACTAGGATGGAATTGCCTGGCCGAGATTCAGGATACGGTGTCATTAACGTGTATGATTTCACTGCAAGTGGTCTTTTGCTGAGGTCATGGGCAGGTGGGTTGGCTTCTCTTAAAAACTGGATGCTGGACTTCATGAGATGAGTCTCAGACTGATCCAGCAGGTTTCATCAGAGGTTCTGCTAAGACGGGGAGAAATTGTCCCACCGTATCCACTCTCTTTATGATCTTATAAAAGCTTAACACATCTCCCTTCTGTGATGCGCGCATGCGCGCGCGCACACACACACACAATCTCTTTGTCTCAGAGCCATCTTCTACAACCTGGAGCACTCCAGATGTTTGGAACTAGGGTGGCCAAAGATAAGGAATGCTGTGTGATGCACTCTGGAACATCTGGCGGAGACCAGTCAGCAAAGAAAATTCATGCTTGTCTTAGTAGACGCTTGCTCTGTTTTCATGTCCCACTGTGATCACACCTGCATAGGTTGCCTTGGGAATGGGAAGCAAGAGGACAGAACAAACCGAAGGAAAGATGGCATGACTCTCTAGAGAATCCAAGAACCCCATTAACTGCTTGTTTCAGATGAAGACCTGTGTGCTTACAGCAAATGGGGAAGCTGCCATGGGGAAGTTGTGGTCTCTTCAGAGCCGGGGAGGGTTCAGGGGAAGTGTAGCACTGGATGCTCAGAGGGGAATCTTGCCGAGAGGTAAGGCAGTGGGAGCTTTCGAAAGATTCATTGATTAAAATGATACTTTTAAATACAATAAAAATATAACCATAAAAGAATAAGAAAAAAGAATTCAAGCTTTTGATCCCACAGGGCAAAGGCCTACCTGAAGTAAGTGGTCTTTGGCAGCCAGCAGAAGGGCAGCAGAAAAGGGGCGATCCCAGCTTCCCATGACAGGGAGGCCCACAGCCAGGAAGCAGCCACCAAAAAGATGCTTCTCAAAAAGGGCCTTTTCTTTCAGGTGGGGGGGATTCCAGTGGGGAAAGGAGGGCATTGTACCCCTGAAGCTGGTCCACCTGTTGTCTACCTGTGCACATGCTCCCCAAGTGAACTCCCCACAGAGTCCTGCAGACCACTAGCTTATATTCTTCCAAGCCAGTTTCTTTCACAATACTCTGTTATAAAAGATGGGCGCTTTAGCAGGGGAGAGGCTCTGAATATGGCTGGGTTCCTCTTCACAGGCACCATGAATGCCTCCTGTGGTCCCCACAACAGCTCACCTGTCGAAGAGGCTATGCGTCACATTGCCATAGTGACCAACGTGATCATCCTGGTCCTGGGTGTTTCCGGCAACGGGCTGGTGATGTGGGTTGTCGCCAAGCGGGAGAAGCGCAACACCTTCACCTCCATCTGCTACCTCAACCTGGCTGTGGCAGACTTCCTCTTCTCTCTTGGCCGTATCCCGGCCCTAGTACAGGAGATCATGTACACCTGCTGGCCCTTTGGCCTCGTCCTGTGCAAGCTTCACACCTTTGCCCGCTACCTCACTGTCTTCACCAGTGTCTTCATCCTCACTGTCATCAGTGTGTACCGCTGCTTGTTGATCACACGGCCCGTCTGGGCCCGAAATCACCACGGGCCACGCTATCAAGCCCTGATGTGCACTGGGGCATGGATCCTAGCCTTGGCCTTCAGCATGCCCTACCTGGTGTTTCGCCATACTGAAGAAAGAAATGGAGCAACCTACTGTACCTACAGGAAAGGTCTCCGGGGGTCCACAGAGCTGCCCCTGAGGCTCAGCAGGTTCCTGGGAGGGTTCCTCATACCCTTCATCGTCATTTTTTCATCCTACCTGGTCATGATTTGCAAGCTTCACAGGCGGCGCTGGCAGGGCTCCCACCGGACCTTCGCTCTGGTGGCCATCATTGTGGTGCTCTTCTTCATCTGTTGGCTGCCCCACCACATCTTCGTGCTGCTCAGCACCATCTCCAGTGAAAAGGACTCCTGGGGGATTGGGCTCAAGCTGACCAATGCCTTGGCATACCTTCACAGCTGCATCAACCCTCTGCTGTATTGCTTTGTAGGCTACATCCGGACCCGGGGCCTGCACCGCCGCGCTTCCTTCCTGGGGCTCTTCCGAAAGGCACTAACTGAGGAGGATGAGGAGTACACTGGAGCAGAAACATCTCGGAGCCTTAGTCAGAAGACTTAAGGGCTGGATTTCTCAAAGCGTTGACCTAATCAGCAAGAGCCCTGGCCACATCGCACTTCCAAAAAAGATGGAAGCTGTAATAGTTGTAGCTAGAGAATCGGTCACCTTAATGCTTGACTTTAATTCTGGTTCTGTGACCTTGTTCATGCCCAGTGTCATTACTCCAGGCCTTGAGATGCCTTCAAGAAAGGTCTCCTCCTCAGGGGCCTTGCTTTCTCCCATTGCCCGCTCGCTCACACTCAGTTTCTGGGCCCTAGAGAGACCACTTGCCCAGAGAGGGAGGGCAGGTGTGTAAAGCAAGCAAAAATAGCTGCTGCTGCTCCTTCTGTTTGCTTTTGGCACTCGTGCACTTCCACAGCAAGTGGGGCTTTGGCGGGATGTTGGAGGTCAGCAACCAGCCCCCTGCCAAGGTATGCACCCTGGCAAGTCCCCAACCAGACCAACCCCTGATGGCACCCTAACAGCAAAGTGACTTTTGATCACTTAGGTATTATAACACCCTTCAAGACTCATGCCTTGAGGGTGCACCTCTATACCTGTTTAGAGACAAAAACGCTTACAACTCCCAGCATGCCCCTGCCAGCCAGAATCTCTGCTCAGTAAAGGCCATCCTCCTTGAGGAGACTGATGGTCAAGTTGGTCCTGCAATGTGATGGCCTCCATTGTGGTGCGAGCAGTCTGGCCCGCAGTTCAGACAATTGCTGAGCGGCTGGACCCCCTTTCTTAACACCTGCAACTTCCCACTCAAAAGCCCAAGGTGATTGAGACCATCCGAGGAATGAAGGGTCTGTTCTCATTTTGGAGGACAATGAAGAAAGACACAGCTAGGTAAGGCTATTCCAGCTGCCCGGGGGGTGCTAACTGAACCGACGCCGTGTGGGTACAGTGGAGGTCTAGCAAAGATTGTGCTTGTTGCCTAGTCCAACACCAGCGGCTGTGCTAGGGTGGCACCAGGAGGGACTTTGGGATGTGAGGTTGGCCCCAGTTGTGGTGAACTAGTGCAGCTGTGTGCACTTGGGCCCGAGGGCCCCGTGCCAATGCAGAGAGGAAGAAAGGGGTGCAGCATAAAGAGTGCAAAGCCCCCGCCCTGGCCGAGCCTGGTGCAAAACGCCTGCCTTCTGACTTCGCCTGGACAACAGAGCAGGACCTTCAGCTTAAGCCATTTGTTTCAAAGACTATTGCCCTGGAGAACAAGAGTGACGATGGACTACTCTGTCTGAGGACAGCTCCTAATTCCACTAAGCCGACTGTTGATCGCACACACACACAGTTCAAATACAGGCCATCAAAGCTGGGGGTGGAAGTGGGTGGGTGCATAGGTTGGAACGAGGAGTAACTCAGGAAATTGTACTTGGAGTTGAAACCACCCTCTGTTCCTGGCAACATTAATGTGTTCAACCGTTCTCACTTCTGAGCTTGGTGTTATGAAATTCAGCAACATGATCATCCCAAAGCACACCATTGGTCAATCAGTTTTGTCCAGGGTGGGTGGGACATTTTTTTCCTTGTGGAAGGCCACATTCCTGGAGGGTACTCTGCATGGTATGACATGCCAAAGCTAGGAGGACTTCAAGCCAGGCTGAGCCAAAGCTTGAGGACTTTCAGCCCAGCCCTGAGCCAGACACCTAGTTAAGAATTTGAAAAGTCATCCCAGTGAAATAGCCAATGGTGAGCTAAATGGACCAAGAATTTAACTCAGCCAATCCCTTTACAACTGCATGTGCACGCAACAGAAAGCTGCTCAGTGAGAAGCAGCGGGGTGTGATGGTGAGACGGTTGGACTGGGGACCTGAGGGATCCAAGTTCTGGTCCCCACTCAGTCCTGAAGCTCACTGGATGACTTTGGGCCAGTCAATCCTCTCAGCCTAATCTACTTCACAGGGTTCTTGTTGTAAGGATAAATAGAGCCATCTTGGGTTCCTCGCAAGAGGAAAAAGGCAGATTGATAGAATAGTAGACTTGGAAGGGTCCAGGAGGTCATTGGGTCCAACCCCCTGCCATTGGAGGACACTAAGTCCCATCATCCCATTCAGATGAGTGTCCAAATGCTTTTTGAATGTCTCCAGTGGGGGACTTCAGAACTTCCCCAAGCAACAGGTTCCATTGTCGTGCTGCCCTGAAAGCGGGGAAAGATGTACAGGCAGTGGAAGCCTGGTCCTGCCCCCCAGGCCATGTGGTACCACTGATCACAACCACGCAAAGGAAGGCCAACATGCATGCATCACCAAACACACAAGACTTGCCTGCAGTCCAGAGCTCCCGCTACATGCGGACGGTGCTCATCAGCCTTCTTGGCAGATGTCCACACAAAGTGTGGAAATGCACAGTGGGGCGAGCATTGTTGCCTGACTTTGGGGCTGGGGCCAGGGCACAGACACCACCCGACAGCTCCATCGTCCATGCAAAGCAAGCGACATAGAATGCACATCATAACCCAAGTTTCTGTCGCCCAGTGGACTTCCTGCATCATAGGCACCCTTTGCCCATATTGCAGGCTTCCTAGTTTTAAACTAGAAATTCTCTGCTCCACTCCCTGCAGCCCCCTTCACATCACAGTGGCTCCCACTGATCACTCCTGTGCTGCAGTGTACTCACATGCACACACACACACACAAACCGGCTGGCTGCCCTTCTTTCTGCCTCAGCCCCAAATCCTGCCTGCTCCTTTGCAAAGGTCACCATCAGTAAGACACGTGCCCTCAAAATGCCAGGTCAGCAAACCTTCTAATTGTCTATCTGCTCCTATGTAACCTGAACTTTTCCAGAGAGAGACAGAGAGAGAGAGACAATGCTCAGAACTGGGTTTGTGCTGCCACCTGATGGCAGAGAGCATCTTGATGAAATCCTCTCATTTTTCACAGAGAGCATAGAAACAGAGTGAGTCAGAAGGGGCCTCCCGGGCCATCTAGTCTGACAAACATTGGTTTCAAACATCAACTGGCTCCAGCCAGCTCTGCTCACGACATGCCCACCATGCACATGTCCAGCCTATCCATGGACACCCTCACTGATGGGGCCTCAACCACTTCCTGGGGAAGCCCATTCCATACCCTTGGGGTCCTAACTGTCAGGCATCCAAATTGAACCGTGGCTCCCTGAGCTTGGCTCCACTGGAACGCATCTTGCCCTCCTCTGCAGGGGAAAACGGGTCTCTACCCAACTCCATGTGACAACCGCTCACGTATCTATATGTCACCACAGATCCCCTCAGAGTCTCCTCTTCTCCAGGCTGAAGAGACCCAGTGCCCTCAGTCTTGCCTCATACAGCATCCCCTGCAAACCAGCCACCATCCTTGTGGCCCTACGCTGCACTGACTCTAACCTGGCTATATCCTTCCTGTAATGAGGGGTCCAGAACTGAGCACAATACTCTAGTTGCGGGCACACCAGAGTTGTATAGAGTAGTAGTAATACCTCTCTCGATCTAGAAGCCACACTTCTGGCTATGCAACCAAGGGTGGCGTTCATCCTCTTGACCGTTGTGTCACACTGCTGACTCATGTTTAGCCTGCAGTCAACCAGCACCCTGAGGTCCCTTTCACAAGTGCTGCTCTCCAGCCACTTGTTCCCTAACCTGTACTTATGACACCTATTCCTATGCCCCAAGTGCAAGACCTTGCACTTATCCACATTGAACGCCATCCTGTTGTCTCCTGCCCACTTCCATATTCTGTCCAGATCCTTTTGGATCTGGAGTGCCTGCTCCTCAGTTGTGGCCACTGCTCCAGTTTTAGTGTCGTCTGTGAATTTGATCAGCAGACTGTTCACCCCTTCTTCCATGTTGTTAATGAAAAGATTCAACAGGATCGGCCCCTGGACAGAGCCCTGGGGGACCCCGCTTGTCACTGGCCGCCATCCCGATGATTCCCTGCTAATGGTTACCTTCTGCTTTCGGTCAGTCAACCATGCCCTAATCCACCGGACAGTGCTTTGGTGTATCCCAAAACTCCTCAGTTTCTCCACCAGGGTATCATGGGGCACTTTGTCAAAAGCCTTGCTGAAATCCAGGTAAACCACATCCACTGCGTCCCCTCCATCCAGCCACATCCAGCATTTCTTTGAAAACACCATCAGGTCTTCTTCCTCATTATTGTTCCTCAAAAAATTATCCTCACGGTTCTATCCCAATGGCCCACCCAGTGGTTATCCTTCTTCAAGATCCCTATCCTGCCGCAGTGCAGCGCTCAATCACACTGCTTCCCTTCTTGGTTTCCGCTTAGTGTCCTGCACTCGATGCAGGCAGCTCCAGTAGATTCATCTGAGGAAGAGAAGAAAGAAGAGGAGTTGCGAGGGGGAGCGGTCTCTGAAGTTGCAAGGCCTCCCAGGGAGGTTCTGCAGGCAAAGCATGAGACTCGGCCTGCTCTGAAGGGGTGGGGGGGTTTTCAGGAGGGGAGGGGGAGCAGCTGTGAGACCCAGTCCTTGGCCCAGTAAGGAGACGATGGGAGCCATGAGGGTCCCTGGCATTCCCACCACCTTGCCCTCGAGCAGCAAGAGCCTCCCAGAGGATGGAGTCTGAAGCTTGACAGAAACGGAGGGACAGAAGGGGAGTTTCCAGTTGGGAGTCAGCTCTTGACATGGGCAGGTGCTTCTCCCTCGACTTTGGCAGGAGGCTCCTCAGAGGCCGTGGTGCCCTGTGATCTGCAGGGCTACTCTAATGAGAAAGGGGCTGCTTCAGCTGAGCAGTGGAAATGAAAAGAGGACCGACTGCCTGAGGATGGCATCCCCCCGGGGGTGGGGGGAGCAGCATGTGAGCCAATGAGGGAGAGGCAAGCAAAGTAGGCAGGACCAGTGCATCTTGGGACTGAATTTCAGCCATGGGGACTGATGAGGTGCCTGCCGCCATTAGGGGGAATGACGGAGGAGGGTGGAAACCGTGCAATTGCCCAAACCCCAAACTCAGCAAGAACCATGCTGCACAGTAACTGCACCGTTTGATTTAGCGTTACATGTGAACGCAGCTGTTGTCTAGCCTCCATACATCACCTGGAAGAAATTGCTACTTTGGGAACTGCCTGTCGGTTGCTCCTAATCCTCACAAAACACAGAGGGCATATATTAAAAATGACCAAGGCCAGAAAGAAGTGGAAGGGATATGAGAAAGCTTGGGTGCACCACGGACACACAGATTTTGGTAATGCTATCTGAGATTAGGACAAAAGGTATGAGGAAAGTGTTTGCCCTTACAATAAACTAACCATATCTCATTAAGGTCAAGACCACAAGCTTCACTGTCCCTGGAATCCTACAAACGGCTTCTGTAATGTATATTCTGGTACCTATCACTTAGAACGCTGGTGAGCATTTTGACCAAAGATCCAGTCAGCCTGGCCTTCAGCAGATGGAAGAAATCCAGATGAGCTTATTGCTCCTTCTATGCAGCAAAACAAGTAATGATTTCACTTCCAACACACTCTCTCGCTGCCTCTTGTTCTCCTGTGGCTATAGGGGAGTGGCCACTAAGGACCAGTTTAGGATGCTCAGCCTGGGCAGGGAACCCTGTGAAGTGGCAGCTCAGCATCCAACCTTCTTGAGTTAGTAACGTCTCTTTGAAAACATCCTGGAAGTGCTTCTCCTGCTGCCCTGTCCCCATGGAAGCCACCATGTTCAAGAAGAGGCACCTCCATGAAGGTCAGGACCTTGAGACCTTCAGTACAGATGTTTTAAATAGAAGGCTTTAGAAGGCAGACCATATCAGCATCCTGCCTCTCACCCCTTCCTGTCTCATAAGCTGATTATCACAGGAGAACTGGATTCTCAGGGTCCTGGTTTCTCATGGCAGGGCCCAAAAAGGCTAACCTTGTTCAACCATTTTGACTTGCATCTCTAGAATGCCAGACACCTGGCCAACATCAATAGAAGTTGATCTGGAGAGACACCATATCGCCTTATAACTTTTTAATACTTTGGTACCCTTATGGTGACAACAGCCTATTCCAAGTTAGAAAATTAGTAATACATAATGCAGAACTTACTTTGATCATTCTCTCAGCTCCCTGTGTCATATGTTACTCTCTTTCCTTTGCCAAAGTGGCTCCAACTCTTAGATCTCATCTCTAGTCAGCTCCACACTTCCTCATTATCAATCCTCCAGGCTCCAAGATTGTGCCTGGCAGCTCAAAAAGGAGAACTTCCCTTGTGGAAGAGAAACTCCTGTGGGGACGTTGAAACAAGCCACCTGTCCTCTAACAGCCTGCAGGTGGCCTGGAATAGCATCTACGGCTTAGAACATTTTTACAAGTGATGCCAACAGGAATGCTTTCCTCGCTCAAGATGCATCACTTGGGAATAATGTTAATGCTGGATCATAGAACTACAAGCAAATGAGAGCCAAGCTGAAATCAAGTCAGTGCTCTAATCAAATGTAGGCTAATCATCATATATGAATTACAGACACAGCTAATGAAAAACCTGATTTCAGTGTCAGCTGTGCAAAAGGCTTTAAGGGCTTGCTTGGAA